GCCCTGGGCGCCGACCCCCTCCCTCCTCGGATGTGAGGAGGGAGCTGGGGAGCCCTTCGGTGCCTGGACCAGACCTCGTCCATGTTCAGGACAACAAGATGCTCTGGCAGGAACCTGCACCCCCTCTTCTGTTCCGAAGGCTCCATCCCTCCCGCGCCCCGCTCACAGGAGCCCTTTCCCACCTCGACTCCCTCCAGCTGGAAATCCCCCTTTTCCCAGATGACCTCCACCAACCCTAGGATCCTTTTCGTGGAGACTTGGACCAGATTCTTGTGCCCCAAACCGGGAAACCACGGGCCTGCCCTTCCCTGCACCCCAGACCCAGAGCCTCTGAAATACCATCCCAACAGCTCCCCCCTGACCCCCAAACCTGGGATGGCCCCTGGCCCCGGGACCTACGCTGGGAGCCCTCCACCCGCCCCTGCGCTCCTGCCCCCAGAGCCTCCAGCTCCCACCCACTACCTGGTTTCGGTTTGATGATTCACAAACCCGTTCTGCTCCGCCGGGAGGTAGGGGGGGGGCGGCGGCAGGCAGGCAGGCAGCTGTGTGGCCGGGCTTTCCTCCTGGCGGGGGTGGGGGGGGCGTGAGGAAGGGCCTGAGCAGTGACCCTGAGCCCTGTGTCTGGAATAGAACCTGGAGAACGATGAGGAAGGAGCCCAGGTGTCTCCGGAGCCAGATGGGGGAGTCAACACCAGGTCAGGGCCAGGTGGGGACCCACCCTGTACCCCTGTTGCTGTGCCTCTGGCTCCCGTTCAGTCCACCTCCCCCCACTCAGCTCTCACACCCTATCCCACAAGGACCCCTAGCCTGATCCCCATTCTCCTGGGTTTCCCTGTCCTGCAGGGTCACCCTATCCTAGTGCAGGCCTCACCGACCCACCCCCACCAGCCTCTTCATCCTACAGAAACCCCAGCTTGGTCTGGCCCCTACCTTCCCCCAGGTCACATGTCCTGCAGGAATCCCTAGCTCGAACCCCCAACTTTCCGCCTCAGTCTGCAGAAACCCCCCCAGCCCTTGAATTCCCTTGATCCCATCCCTGACAGGGCCCCCTATCCTACAGGAACGCCCAGCCCTAGTCCCTCTCCCTCCCCAGCCACATGATCATGACTCCCCTTCCTTCCCACTGGGCCCACCTGTCCTGCAGGGATTCTGGCCGAACATCCTCCGTCCGCAGCTCCCAGTGGTCCTTCAGTACCATCAGCAACAGCACCCAGCGCTCCTACAACGCCTGCTGCAGGTGAGGCCCCACCTTGCCACCCATGGCAGAGCCCAGGACAGACAGCCTCTGGGTCAGGGAGGGTGACAGAAGAGGGTGGGCCCCTGTCCCCTTTCACACCCACCTGCTCTCCTGCTCCCCAGCTGGACTCAGCACCCTTTGATCCAGAAGAACCGCAAGGTAGTGCTGGCCGCCTTCCTGCTGCTGCTGCTGGGGTTGGGTGAGTGTCCCCGAGCCCCTGGGAGGGGTCCGCCCGCCTCTGCAGGCTCTGCCTTCCCTTGGCACAGAGCCTCCCAGATCCTGAGGAGGCAGCTGGCTCCTCCCCCCTCCCCCTCCCCCCATTACAGGTGAGGACACTGAGGCCTGGAGAGAGGCAGGCCCACCTCCTGGTCACACAGCCAGGAAATCACAGGAAGCTGAAAATGGAACCTTGTTCACTGTTCCAAACTGTAGTCTCTAACGTGGCCTGTTTGACCCGTTCACTCTGTGTCTGCCTGGAACCAGGTGCAGGGCAGGCTTATCTTGCCTACCTTGCAGAGGTCACACAGCAAGGAAGAGGCGGGGTCGTCACCCAGAACCTGTGCGTAGGGCCCACTGCTCAGGGAGGTGCCCGTTCTCATGGGCCAGGGATGCTGAGTGCCCTGCCAGCCTGATCCACAGACACCTGTCACTCCCAGTTCTCTGGAGTCTGAGAGCTGAGAGGACCTCTCTTCCACCCCCCACCCCCCATTGCTCAGATAGGAAAACTGAGGCCCAGAGCAGGCAGATCTCACAGCCAGATGTTTTCTGACTCCTCACTTTTCATTCTGTGGGGCTGAGGAGTCAGGGTCCCCAGAAAGGTTCTAGGGTTGGGATCAAGAGGGGCCCATAGGAGGCCCCCACTGTGGCAGCTGCCCTCCCTCCTCCAGGAAGGTCACGCCTGGACAGAAAGTCGAGCAGCATCCTTGCCTCAGCTCTGGTGTCTGTGTGCAGGGGAGGGAGCTGCCACTTCTCCAATGCCGGCACACAGAGCACTGGTCACACTAGCCACCTGCCTTACCTCATTTATCCTCTCAGCACCCAGCAGGGCGGGCATGATGATCAGTCCAGAAAGAAGGACACAGACTCGGGCAGGTGAAGGGACTTTCTCAGGTCACAGTTAAGACGGAGATGAGCTGGGATTTAAACCCACATTAATGACATCGCCAGGCCTGACATTCCCATAAAGGGCCTTTGTAGGAATTAGAAACAGATGCCTACTCTGAGTGGGCAGAGCCCACAGCCCTAAGCCAGGGTGCAGGGAGTGAGTTCCAGCCCCCATTAAATCCTTTTTGAGGTGCTCTGTACAGGGCAAAACCACCTAACAGTTCATAGAGGCTCCTCAAGTCTCTGTGCCGTACCCCCCACCCCATTGCTGCAGAGCCCAGCTCCTCACCTCTCCCCATCCCATCCTATACCTGGGGGCCCAGGACTCTTCTGGTCTGAAAAGTTGATCCAGCCTGACATGTCCACTTCCCCAGCGTCCACTGTCCTCAGCCAAAGCCCACGGCCGTCCCGGGCTACAGGCCTTGCCAGCTCAAGCCTGGGCTCTTGTCTCTGCAGTCTCACCATGAGCTGGGAGCTCCTAGAAAGCCCAGGCTCCCTCCAGACTGTTCCCTCTCTGCCTGCGCGACACCCATAGCAAAACGTCTAGTCAGCATGCCACTCCTTCCAAGTGCAGCCCTGAGCAAGTTACTGCCCCTCTCTGTGCCTCCGTTTCATCTTCTGAGAAGTGGGCATAATCTGTGCCTCATTCAGTCAAGGTGACAGTGTGCATGTAACACACTTAGCCCAGTGTCTGGCAGCCCCTGGAAAGTGTTTGCTAAACGGAAACTGCTATTGCTGCTGCTGCCCCTGCTCAGCGTAGGCGCCTCCGCCTCCGAGAAGCGCCTCCTTGACCCAGCCTCCCATGTTGTCTCTTCTGACCCCACCATATCCTAACCACGGGCAGTAGCTTGGAGGTTCTTGTTCGCTCTACTAGGGAAGGGCCATGAGGGCAGAGACCCCATCTGCCTGCCCTGCACCCCCAGGGATTCCCAGTACCAAGTGCTCCAAAATGTTTGTTGACTGACGCAAAGACCACACCAAGGAGCAGATAAAAGTCTCTCCTTACAGACATTTCCCAGGGCCTGCCAGGGCCCTTGCTCTGAAAACAGTTTGGCGAGCTGCCCAGGAACCTTCAGCTCAGGTGGGGGAACTCCATTCCTCGGCCTCAGCCATGTTGGGGGTTGCGGTTGGAGGTCCCAGCTCCTGCCCCTGTTCCCGCCCTCACCCTTGCGGCCCCGTCTGTGTGCAGTGCTGATCCTGGTCGGCGTGGGACTGGAGGTGGCCCCCTCACCAGGTGAGCGCCCCCCCACTCCGCAGGCCGCGCTCTCCTCTTGTGCCCAGCGATCCTTGGCAAGCCCGCTCCCCTCCCATTACTCACCACCCTCCCAGCCAGAAGGTGCCTCCCTGCCCTGACCTGGCCCCTCCTCTCCTCCCGAAGGTGTCTCCAGCGCCATCTTCTTCGTGCCAGGCTTCCTGTTGCTGGTCCCTGGAGGTGGGAGCCGGAGGGGCGGGGCCTGGGGCGGGGCGG